TCTGTACAGAGTCATCAACACTCTCTGTTCATCCAATGAGCAACCCCAAGTTCACATCTGGCTCATCAATGAGGAACACGAATAAATCTAGCAGTGGCACAGAATCAACATTGTCTGCTTATGCGGATGGCAAAATAACAAAGTCGCGATTGAAACCTGCACTGAGTCCTAAGAAGAGTACAAACATACCGGAGGATAGAGAGAAATTAGTAGACATAGTTAGTAGGCCTAGATCACCACGAGTATCGAATAGTAGAGGAGGTTGGTTATAAAAACAACACTGAATACAAATAAATAATACAAAACAAATGTGAAACAAATTTAAGCAAGAACTGAATTGAAGAACATGTCACGCCTTTGTTTTATATTCCTTAAAGTAAGGTATTAAATCTGGGATTTGAAAAAAGAAACACGCCAAGAGACACTGACACAGAGATAATAAATTGACATTGAGAGGACGGTGTAAATTCATTTTTTTTTTTTTTTTATTCCTTAAAAAATATGTGTATGTATCAGAAACATCGGTTTCAACGGAATAAAATACAAGCTTGTACAGCTAAAGTATTATACATGTATATATGTATTTCTTCGCTCACGAATAGAATGAATGTCGTCGTTCGATGGTGCTGAATACAAGGAAATAAAATTGAAACAACGCATATAAGTTAATACACTGATCGTATAAAATATATCTCAACATTCGAAGAAACTTTGAATTATGGAATTGACGAAGGCAAATGGCTGCCCGCCATTTTAACGTGTTCTTTCACCTGAACAAACTCGATTGGCTATGCGTTTCTTCCCTCTCCGGAAATGAGTCGAATACTGAGAATATCATAGATTAAGAAGCTACACAATCTAAGCGGCTTGCACCACTTTGCTTTGTGGACCTTTCTGCGTGGAACTGATTTTGTCGCCTAACGACAGTGCCATGCCTTGGCTCTTCGCTCTGATACGAATATGACCAACCACCGGGGCATCTGGTTTGTTCAATGGTTTCTCGATGGACATGTTCGCCAATGCGTCTTCGCCGAATATCGACTTCGCGTACATATTGGCCGCCATGAAGCCACATTGTCCAGAAAGGGCCTGAAAATATATCTTTTCTCCAATTTTTCGAAATTCGAACACGGATGTGCGGAATGGATTAAAAATTCCTCGAGTTACAATACCTTTTCTGGAGTAAGACAACGCATGTTTGTAGATTTCAGTAAATGAGCGAGATACTCCCTCAAGTCTGATAACGTTGTATTTACGGACACTTTGTTCTCCCATTCGAACTCTGCCCACATTTGCCTGAATTCTAAATCGGTACACGTTGCCGGCACTATGTAATCCATAATGTCGATATGTATGTCGTTCAATACCACTACACTCCTATCAGATCCCGCTCCAGATACGTCGTATACTGGAAATTAATCAATTTGCATTTTCTTTTTTTTTTTTTTTTAATATATATCCTTAATAAAAGTAGTATAAATTTTTATTAATTACCAATATTTCCAAATATTATTCCATTTTCTGTAGACGCCACTTTTACGTTTGCCTTAATGCTTGCAAAGTCTCGAGGAGCAAGCACGATAGGCTGTGGCCTCTCTACGAGTTTCAAGTCACCCATTGTAGCAAGCTCCAACGTACAATTCTGCAGTGTGTCTTCGGTCTGATTAACGATCAATACATCGAGTACGATATCGTACTGGTTAACGTGAACGAGAGCTTCTGCGTAAACAGGATCTGAGAAGCCAGTTAATTGGGTGACCTTGCTCAAAGCACTGGGAGCTGGCGCGTCTCCGCTAGCACCGGGTCTTCCAGCGACAGCAGCGCTCAAACTTTGTTCAAATACGTCACCAGCTCCACCCGTTAGGTCTGAACCACGGCTCAATTGTAAGAACTGTATCGCGTCGTCTACTTGAACAACGCTACCTGGTTTTTCTTTCGCCTGTACGAGGAGAGGACAAGAATTGGGATCAAAATTCCATAAGAATTAGAAAGTAAACTGAATTAGGTAGCTCTGAAAAAACAACCTTTTGATTCTGCGAATCTTCTTCAGCTTTCGCTGTAAGCATTCTGCCAAGAGCATCGCGACATCCCTCGGTGAAAACTTTTTGCACGAGTGGTGTCGGACAAGCCAATGATTTCAAGCACAGTGACAAACGTTCAGCATCATCATGCGTTATTGCCTTAGCAGGGAGACCTGAACGACCCAGCTGCATTACGCTAGACATCACCAACATTGCTTCAGCCTGCATACGATTGCTCTTTTGTGTATCTGCTTCGAGGCCCTTGTAACGAAGTGCTAATTTAGCCAAGGTTGTAGCTAGAGAAGCACCTATGAAGAAGTCACCTTCCATCATGTACTGAACCAGTGCTGGGCGCTTCTCTTCTTTCTTTCCTATAAATTAGAGAAACGACTGCTATACACACACAGTTTAGAATTAGCAAGCTATTTGCGTAATTAGTCAAAAATAATTACGCGAGGATGCTGCACTAAATGCACTTTGAGTAGCATATGTGCCATCTGATGTGACCAGCTGTGCTGGTGTGACTTGTGCGCTTCCATCTTCTAACAATTTCTCGCCAGCTTGTCGTTTGTTCTCCGCTTCCAGCAACGGTAGTTCTCCCAGAGCAGCCCGGATACGACTCATTACAGCTTCTATATCTTCTTTCGACGTTGCGTATTCACCGAGAATCCACAAGGCTGCTCTGTGCACTCTTACCGATCTAATGTGTGGAAATACCTATATACAATATACGCGATTAGGTCAATTTGTTGAAATGTGGAGACGAACGTCAATTTTTTTTTTTATTTTTATTCTTCTGATACGTACCTCGAGGAGTTTTTCAACAATCAGTGGTCTAAGATTTTCAAATCGTTGGATAGCTTCGCGAACAAACACCAAAACGTCAGTGGCTGCAGCCTCGTTATTTTCAGACAAGAAATCTGTTAGTACTGGAATCACTGTAGCTGCTACGTCCGAGAATTTGATAGAGCAGGCATGCAACGTTCTAACTAGTAATTGTCGATATCGACCAGCATCTTCGTGTTCTCCACCAGCTGTTCTAAGCACTTCTTTCTTTAATAATTGAACCATTTCCTCGATGGTACGTGTTGTTACCAAATCCATCGCTAAAGCTAAGGTTTTTGTTCTAACTTCCAATGCTGGAGAGCCTGAAATATGAAATATGAATCGGAATCTTAAGCAACGTTCTACATCATTCGCCTGGTATTCTTATGTATTTTCAGAAGGTAGACAGGTACCTAGAACTCTAAGAACGTCCATCACTAGATCTTGGAGGACCCGTTCATAAACAGGACTGTCCTTCATCGCAATCAAGCGATCCAGCACAATCAATTTAACGTTATTATCACTTTCTTTAACGACTAATTCAATGTAACAAGAAGCTGCAGCTTTAATCGCTGTGGGAGCACTGGAAAGTGTAACTAAAGTACCAGCTGCTTCGTAACGTACAGCAGCACTTGGTGAATTCAACAAACTATAGATGCATCTGATAAAACGAGCTCTCTCTGATGGGTTTGCGAGGCAAACCTGTAAAAATACATGCTTATTAATACTCGAAACTTTTTAGCACTAACAATGGACACTAATTGAAATGATCCACGAGTTAATAAAAACTTGTTTGTCGAATATATGCACCTTGTAAATTAATTCTACGATAACCAATTGCAATATATCGCCAAAGCTGGGCACTTGATCCAAGCAAGCTGCCAAGTAAGCCAGTGCCCTGCTCTGATCAGCGTGTAACAACATCAGGAATGCATTCCTTCGGCAAGACATATCCTGTTCTCCTTCCAAATATTTTGCTATTAATTCTGGGGCGTCTGGTATAAGAAATTCAAAGTTTCTGTAAATAGTGAATATGGCTAGAACTGCATTGCGTCTAACATAAGAGTGCCTATGCTCTAAACATGCAATTATCGCAGGCATCAAAGGCTCCAAGAGTTCTGGTTCCTTTAATTTGCACAAGAATCTGAAACCAAGAGAAGAAACACATTTTCCAGCTCATCCTACTTTAAACCCATTAAAGTCATTGATTGTTACGTATATCGGTTTAATACCTTAAAGTTGATCCTCTGACAAATTCGTTCGGATGCTGTAAGTCCTTTCTATAAGCATCACAAACTAGGATCATCTCCTGAAGCAATTTTCCATCAGGAGAAGTTTTCGGCACAATCTCCCAGAATATTAAAAGTAGCTTTTTAATAGTGTGATCTTGCAATGGTAGTACAAATCTAATGATGGTCATTAAAAGTCCTGGCAAGCGTTCTCCACTAAGAATCATGTGAATGGTTTTCTTGAGAGCTTCGATCTTTGTCTGAACATCGCCTTTCTCTAGATCTTGTTTCAACTGGAGCTCATTCAATGGCTCCGTATCGGTTGGAACGTTTATCAACGTGTAACAAGGTTGTTCGGCAATAGTGCTCATTTTACCGAGTTGTCTCACGCTGTGTCAGGGGAATTACTTTTCTACAACCTGTAAATTGAAAGAGTCACCGCTATAATTTTCGACTAAATATTGGAAATTGATCGACCGACGGATGTTACTCGAAAAATACAACTGTTCGAAAGTGAGGTTAGGTTGCCCTCTACTATGCGTTCGCTTTGCCACACCGAACAATGCACTACGAATTGCATTTATCAAGATCAACGTACCTGATCACAAGAAAGCCATGCAACGAAAAATCCAACAATATCTTTCAATTGGCCAACTGACATTTATACGAATCCGGAAACAACGAAAACAGCATACGTGTCAAACCCCTGCAACACGGGGACTAATAAGACTAGGAATAGATAGCGCCACGATCTACATCTTCGCCACGTCGTCGCGAACTTTTGAATTCGTTGTCTCCTTCTTTTCGTAAAATATTCCTTACACACTGTGCTTTTGCAAATGTGCGGATTGCCATCTTGCTTTCTTGCTTCAATCTATGATACTTTAATTTTAAAAGAGCAGATGATCGTGTTCTAACGTAAATGTGTAATGAAAAAATGTTTTCACAAAAGTGTAGATAAATCGCGCCGTAAAGAATATCCGCAAGATTGAACTTTTTATTCTTTTAAAGAAATGATCAAACGTCGCTGATCGTAAAAAATATTTACATATACTGCCATTTTGTATCGTAGTTGGCAAGACTATAATTTTAAATGGCACGATCGTTTTAAATAAAACTTTTAGATATTTTCCAAAAATTTCTGACACGCTTGGAAATTTATCGTTTAAATTCACGCAAACAATTGAAAGCTAGTAAGTAAATATTTGTGCATTAGTTACTTTAATGTATTCATTACAAACAAATTCATACTCTTTGTTTTCGCAGATTTCTCAAATTGCATAATTAGTTGAATTGATTAAATTACCGTTCGTTTGAAAAAGCACGTACTCGCTTGCGTACTTGTTTACTCTTCGCGTTAAATATTTGCAAATAATTTGCAATTTACATTACTTCCGCAAATGATTTCGCAAACGAAAGTAACGAGAGAAAGCGACAAACAAAACCTGGGCATTTATCGAATAAAGGTTTTAACCTGTTGATCGTGCAAGATATATTGTTACTAAACACTATTAATTTATTTTCTTCAAAGATAAATCATCCCGATTAGCGAGCCGCTTCAAGTGGAACACTACTGACCTAGAAAACAAACTGAGCTAAATAGATTGCAACTGCGTTCAGAGAAACGAATAACTCGTTCGCGACGAATCGTCTTTAACAATTAAACAATAATTGCTAGAAGGTAAACGTAAAAATAACGCGATAATTTTGAGAAATTATTTAAATCTGTACACAAAAAATAGGTTTAAGTTAGGTTTAGGTTAGGTTCAAGTTATTTGCTTATACCGAGAAGTAGTAGAAACTTCCCGAACGAAGGAATCGCACAATTGCGTTATCAATTATTCAACATAGTCCGGAGCTGTTTTCCAAGGAATCGCAAACATTTTTGCGTTGACGCAGAACGATTATCGACAATCTCTCTGACGTGTTACTTCATACACATAACGAGTGGTTAGATTTCCATAATTGATAGCCACATTTTATCTCTTTGTGTAATAAACTGCAACGCAGAGCCTGATGCACACGTACATGTGTATCCTTATCTCTCATTTCATACGCAACCTTTCGTTCTTTTCATAGTTTTCTCATTCCAACGGGAATGTTATTACCGCCAGATAAGTTTGAGAAGATTTCAGTGGAATCACAAAATTGAACAAAATCACGTTCAGTCACGTTTCACGTAACATCTATATATATATATATATATATATATATATATATATATATATATATAT